CATTTTAGGAATGCCAATGATATAATCCACCTATTAATAGAGATAGGAAGAAAAACTGTACAATCACACCTATAGATGTCATGTAACCAATATTCATTCATGTTAAAAATAAAGAACTTGGTAGACACTGATTTAACATTTTATACCAAAATCAAATAATAATTAGAATACAGAGCACTGAAAATTCTCTTTTGTTGGTGAAATAAATTTATACAACTTTTTTGGAAAACAGTTCAGATGACCCTCTAAAGTTGAATATACACACACGCTATGACTGAGCAAGTCTAACTCCTAGGTACACCCAGTAGAAAGTTCACATAAGTGCACTGAAATGTGCGTGCAAGATTTATTTATAATAGCCAAATATGGGGAAAAAATGTCCATCACCAGTGGTGTGACATTCATTTAATGAAAATTAACTACAGATACCTAAAACCACAAGGATGAATTCCACACACATGACGCGTATGTAACAAAGTCAGTCAGATACCAAAGAATACATGTCATATAATTCAATTTAAGTGAAATGCAAAGCGGGCAAATTAATCATAGTATCAGAAGACATGACGGTAGTTACCTTTAGAGCAAAGGGAGGAAACAGTGATGGAGAGAGGTTTCAAAGGGTCTCCAGGTGTGCTGGCAATGGTCTGTTTCCTGAACCAGTGGCAGTGACCTGGGTTTTCACTTTGTGACAATTCAGTGAGCATGAAATATATGTTTTCTACATGTTTCTATATATTTATAACTCTTTCATAGACAAGCATTCCCATTTTTAATGAAAAAAAAAGAAAGCACAAAATAATTCCCAAATCTCTAAACCCAAAGTATGTAACACAAATTGGGAAGATATATAATTATGTATCATATTGGTGACAGAAGTAAAAAGTGAAGATTTGAATTGACTTGAAAATTCAGTATTTTGAATGTACATATCATCTAGTGGATTATCTCCCAATGACCAATAAAAAAAGAAACAAAAATATCTTAAACTGCACTTTGTAGTCTTATTGTTAGTAATAACATAGGCATTACCTTTTAACTATTTATTCTAAACTACAGGTTAAAGAAAATAATTGTGTTAATGCCATTAGCAGCCAACATTTTCAGCTTACGAGAAAAATAAAATTTTTAAATCAAAAAGGTAAAAACTTTTAAATGTGAATTAGAAGTATGGGTGTAAATAAATTTGTGATTTTTCCTTTTAAGAAGTATATCCTACCTCTTACCCTTGAAAAGTTCTAGAAGAAATGACAATCCCAGTAGGAAAAAGCACCCCGACACAGATTGTGTTCTCTAAGTACCATTTTCAACTAAAATTAAATAGAACTGACTTCAGAACTAGGGTTAAGTATTCCCAAGATAACCCTGTGAAGTATTACTGACAGAAAGCAATTAAGTTTTATCAGAGACAGAAGCAGGGTCATGTAGAAATGAGAGAGGAGCAAACTCAAAAAGCCTCCCACTGGACTGAGATAGAACAACTGAGGCATCAAAAAGGCTATAAAACACAGGGAAATATACACAAAATGTTATGATAAATCACAGAGAAAAAAATGTGACAATGAGTGTGTATATGTCCATGTATGACTGAAAAATTGTACTGAACACTGGAATTTGACACAACACTGTAAAATGATTATGAATCAATAAAAATGTAAAAAAAAGGCTATAAAAGATTAAAATTCACAAATGTACATATATAAATCCGTAATTTCTTAGCAACACCAAAAAAACTCACTGGACACACTAAGATTACTAAGGCACAAATTTATTGTTCTGAACATTGGTCTATAAAAGGAAACCATCATTTATCTTGTCATTGTTAAACAAACTATATTTTAGGATAAGCAATCAAGTGATATGGGCAAGTTCTTATATAAGACAATCTCCCAGCTATAAATGAGAAAGGAATTATAGAGTGAGAAAATTATCACTTTTGCAACCATAAAGGACTAACGCATCTAAGCAATGCTTGGCAACAGATGCTAAAACTACTAAGTCCCAGAGGGATGGGCAAGCTCACAATGGTAGAGCTGACAACACCGGACGCCAGTGAGCAATCACAACATCACTAAGAGTGAGGCAACCAGACAGCATACGTATCTCCCTGTGAGGCAACGGGAAAGACACAGCACAAAGTATGAAGAAGTCCCGCCCTCCGCCACAGAGCTGAACGCGAACCTAATCAAGACCGTACATTCACCAGGAATTCACAGGCACTACAGGTGACAGAGGACCATGATGGCCAAAGGGCAGAATAAAATTCCCAACATCCCAGCTTTGGCTAAAACAAATGACGATTTGTCTTGGATAAATAAACGGCACTAAAAAATAACAGAAAATGTCTGAAATTAAGAGACGTAAGAGTCACATTATCTATACAGGACCTTGTTTCAACCACGGCTCAACGAAACATTACAACACGACATGGGTGAAACCATCAGTAAAATCTCAACACTGGGTATTAGATGGTAACAGGGAACCACCACTGATTTTGTTGGTATCGGTATTGTGTGAAGAGCATCATGGTTTTGTTTTTAAGAAGCCTTTTCTGTTAGATATATATAGTCAAGTGTTTATGAGTAAACACTGGTGTCTGGGAACTTTTTTTTTTTGAACACTATAGCAAGGGGAAGGGGAAGGGGGGAAAGACAGAGGGAAAACAAGGGAGTGGGACGGGGAGGGTGAGTCAGAGAGGGACGATGGACAACACTGGCAAAGTTCTAATACTTGTTGTCTGTGCCTTTAAAATGCCTATAGACTCTTCAATCACGAGTTTTATTGTCCACTAGTAGTGAAGCTACTGGAGAAAAACAGGACATGTCTCACATGTGAAAATTTATTCATGACTTACTGAAAAACTATGTATGAACACACAATTTTGAGTGCTACAGAAACCTGGTCTCACGAGTCCTGAACCTAAGACCTACCTATCAGCCCCATGGGGTTCCCAAACCCTGAAATGACTGCACTGTTCCAGAGAGGCTGTCGTGGCTTTTGTTCACCTGAAAATGCAGCATTTACCAATGGAATAGAGCCACAGCTCATGCAGCAGAAACTCCAAAAAAAAAACAGGGACAACGTGAACACAGTATCACACCCCTGCCAAGCCTACTTCTTAAGTTGAAAGATAAATTCTTAAACCTGTAAAACTTTGTTTCCAGTGTTTGAGTGACCTCTAGTGGCTACTTCAAGTGTCACAGCCAACTGCTCACAGCAGGAATCAACCTTGTAAGACATGACAGAATAAAATAAGGCATCACAAAGGAGCACCTGGCACAATTTCAAGTCACTCTGTAAACTCCTCGTTATCCAACGGAACTTAATTCATAACAGAGTATGTTAATTCAAAATAGTTTCCCAGAAAGCTAAATATACGCTACTACTTTTTTTTTTTTAATGAAATATGACTTTCCCCATGGTTCATTTCAAATTTCATCAAATACTGGCAAACACCCAGAAAGGGACAAGTGAAGAAATGAAGGATCCGAGAACTTCGGGAATTAACAAACACCCAGCCTCCTCTTTCCCCGCCTCGGGAATGCCATGTTTAACATGGGGCAGCAACAGGAACTGGGGAAATACTGAGAACTCATGTTACCCAGTCTCCAAAGAGAGGGTAACACTGGCCAAAGAACTCAGCCTGAGTGAGCACGGGGACAAGAGCTAGTCAAGAACTGCTGGGCCAGACGCTCCCAGGAGCAGCAGCAACAGCAGCTTCCAGTGGGACTAGGCCACAGGCATAGAGCCAGGGCTGAGCTGGGCCCATCACACAGGGTGACTGCCAGGTCCTCAGTCATTATAATGCCTTCCACCCAGACTTGGGGGAATGCCTATGGTAAAACATACTGTCCCATCAAAGCTACCAGAGTCCCAAGCACAAGGACGCAAGTGGGGCTGTGGGCAGCCTCTCAGCTCCAATCCCAGCCTCTGGCCTGTCTTCCTCAGACTCTGTGCCACCAGGCTCCACAAAGTCCCCTTTTCTTACCGCTTTCTCCTTCCTTCAGGAGTTCTTGCCCTAAAAGCCTTGGTTCTTTTCGCTTGTTTTGCCCCTGATACTCTTAGTCCAAGGGACAAAAATCTACCAGTTCAATGTAATACACATTAACACGATAGACACAAAGTAGTTTTTAGCGTATAAGGATATTAAAAAGGCAGTACAATGGTAGCACTCACTTTCTGGGATTCGAAATTACTGAGTAATTAAGAAGGGCTTCCCAGCAGTAGCATCTGAAACAAGTCATTGATACAGTTGTCCCTCAGCATCTGTGCCGGGACTGGTTTCAGGACTTCCCACAAATACCAAAATCCAGAGATGCACTTACATAAAACGGTCTAGTATTTGCATGTAACTTATGCACATCTTCCCATATACTTTAATTTATTTATAATACCTAATACAATGTCAATGCTATGTCAATACTTGCCAGCACACAGCAAATTCAAGTTCTGCTTTTTAAAACTTTTTGCAATTAGTTTTCCTGAATATTTTCAATCCACAAATGGTTGAACCCACAGATGTAGAACTTGTGGATATGGAGGGCCAACTATATTTGAAAGCACCTTTCATGCAAGCATAGCAGTTAAATACTGCAATCGTTGCCAGAAACTATTGACATTTGATGATAAGAACAGTAAATTCAAGGTGAAGAGCCATAATATTTTCATTTGAATTACAAGCTGGGCTTCAACTAGAAAATACATTAGTTATAATAAAATATCAAGACCACAAAAAAACTATTAATGAAATAAACCTTATCCAAAAATCATTGAAATTATGATGAATAGTGCCCACAAGCCTTGTAACTCCATCACACCATCTTTAATAATAGAATATGTTGTAAATGAGCAGCTGTGTTTAAGTCTAAACACCTATTGGGATCATTTTATAACAACTGCCACAATTCCACAAAGAAAACTTAAGGCCAATGAAAGTTACATGTTCTAAAATCAAGAACAATCTTTGTCATTCCTAACATTTCAGTAATAAAAGAAATTACCTCAATAACTGGTATATTTTCTTGGAGCTCCGTTGTGTGCGAGGCCAGTAAACCAATCACCCGAGCAACCTTGGCCCTTCTGTAAATGGAGAGAAAATAGGTTCTGAAGTGGAGGGTTCGGGACCAAGGAAATTGACCTCAGTTAGTTACATGGCAGTTAAAAGCATTACCATCAGCTGGAAATGGAATGAGACAGGGTGAGCATACATTCCCCCATCTATATGGTCCAGAGAAATGCTCCCTTCATGCACATGGGGACACCTGAACGCGATCCCCTCTGCAGCACTGTTTGTAATAGTGACCAGAAATTTAACGAGCTGTGCTTTAATAGAGAAACGGAAATTAACATTTTTTTAAAAGGCCTTAGAGAAAGGGAGGGAAAAGTAATTACCCCTATTATTTCTGCATACAGCAGGATGTGGTTAAATGTCTTTATTCTACTTATTAGTAGATCAGTGATTTTATACCAAAGTAGTAAATAATTAGTATCAGAACAGTTAAATAGACATGTACAATTCACTTTAATGGAAATTTTTACAATCTTAATTCTTAAAAGTATTATTGTCGGGGGGAGGGTAGAGCTCAGTGGTAGAGCGCATGCTTAGCGTGCACAAGGTCCTGGGTTCAATTCCCAGTATCTCCATCAAAAAATATATACATTACTGTAAAAATTCTAGTTTTAGTGAGAATTTTCCATTTCATTATCCAGTAGAAAATGAAGTTGGTGTAATATCTCTTCAGGTGATTTGAAAAAGTTTATTTCATAGAGAGAATTAGTTTTGATGACTTTTTAATTGGGAAAAAAAAGGCTGAGTGTGAGTTGAGGAGAACCATGCTCTTATTTAGTGATGCCTGTGTGTCCCTCAGAGAGCCTCTGCTTTTCACGTTCATGAAGTAAACTACACAGGACTCGTAGGAGGAAAAAGACACAGAAGTACCACAGTGAAGTGCCTATGTTGTCAGAAATCTAATATACACACAGTTCTTATGTATTTCAGGCTTCTTGGATTAGCCACTCAAATCTTTTAATACATACAGATTAGAGAAGTCCTAGGCTTTTCCATGATTACCATCCTGCCTCTGAATAAAAAGATTATACTTCAAAAATAATCATTTTGAAAAAGATCTAGTAGGACAATTGACCAAAAGTTACAAGAAAAAGCTTTCAGTCACAGCTCTGCCATCAAGCAGTTTTATGACCACAGGTCAAGTCAGTTAGGCTTCAGTTTCTGGGTGTAATTTAAAAGTACGGGTGGATTAACTTTTCAGTTTTTTCACAATGGAAAAACAAGTGCATATTATCCAAAACTAACGAATCAAAGGATGCAAAGCAAAAACTTATTTGTCTCAGTTTAAAGACAAGCCCGAAACACTTATGAACTCTTGAAGCATTTTTTTCAGGCTACAAAATTAAATAATGGCAACCAGATTTAGTCAACTAAAAGAAAAATGTATCACAACATGCCTATTCTATATTTTTCTCACTCCCAGTGGAAACAGTTTCTATCAGAGAACACAATACCTTAAAACTCTTAGCTTCAAAGTACTAACTATTTAAGGTACTAACAATATTATTCCTCAATTTATACCTAATACTTACATAACCTCTACCTATATATACAATGCTCTCACAGAACTGGCTCCTCCTCATCACTGAGGTTTCTTCTTAAATGTCACGATGTCAGGTGTCCCTAATGACCCATCACATTTAACTCAGCACCGTCCCCACATCCATGACAGCATGTAAAGCTGCACTGGCCAAGAAACCTACATGCAGTAACAGAAATATTCCGTACTTACATTGTTCAGTACAGGGTCCACCATATGCACGTGACTATCGGGCACATACAGTATGGTTTGTACAAGTGAAGAACTAAATATATATACAAACACACAATTTACTTTTGTTCATTAGTTTGTTTAAGGAACTAGTTTTTTATTAAAGTATAGTTGATGTACATACGATATATAAATTACAGGTGTACAATATAGTGATGCACAATTTTTAAAGGTTATATTTCATTTATAGTTATCAGAAACTATTGGCTATATACGTTTGGTGTACAATATATCCTTGTAGCTTATTTTATACCTAATAGTTTGCACCTCTTAATCCCCTACACCTATCTTGCCCCTCATCTCTTCCTTCTCCCCACTGGTAACCACTACTTTGTTCTCTTGGAAGCCACCAACATGTTCTTCAGAATGTGAATGGATAAATAAAATGTGGTACATGCAGACAATGGGATATTTGACACTTAAAAGAAATGAGCCATCAAGCCATGGAAAGACATGGAGGAACCTTAAATGTATGTTACCAGGTGAAAGAAACTCAACTGAGAAAACTATATATCATACAATTTCAACTATATGACATTCTGGAAAAGGAGAAACTATGGAGATAGTGAGAAGTTTAGTGGTTGTCAGAAGGATGAATAGGAACACAGCAGGTTTTTAGGGCAGTGAGAATAGTCTGTATGATACCATAACGGTGGATGCACACCATCATACATGTGTCCAAACCCACAGCACATACAACACGAAGAATGAATCATAATGTGAAGTAACCAATGTACTAATAAATGTACCACTCTGGTGGGTGATACTGACAACTGGGGAGGTGATGCACAGGTGGGGGAAGAAGGTATGTGGGAAATCTCAGTACCTTCCCCTCAATTTGCTGTGAACCTAAAACTGCTCTGAAAACTAAACTCAATAAAAACAAAAGGTGAATTTTATGATACGTGAATTCTATCTCAATAAAAGAGCATGAGAAAGTAAAATAAAATGCAGAATTTAGGGGCATCAAATCCCACACCCATCTTATAGGAGTTTCAGGAACAGAAAAAGGATGAAACAGAGGTGAAGAAATGGTAAGGAAACAGGAAAGCTAAAGAGAGGCTGAAGTATTTAACAGACTAACTGCCAAAGTAAATTAGTAAAAAGAGATATCTAGACACATTCTAGTAAAATTCTGCAAGCCTGGAATAAAAAGAAAAAATACTTTTTCACTGAAAAACAAAATCAAACTAGTCACATTACAAGAGAAAGAAAAAGACAGGTTGGCCCTGGAGTCTTCCAGAAATACATTCAACAAGTGGGAAAGAGAAAACTCCAAAGCACGGACAGAGCAGAGTATGGCCCGAACATGCTAGAAGGTCTCCTTCAGCCTGCTGTGCCTGAGCCGTGAATCACAGCCACAAAGCTTCAAGGAGGGAGTAACTCCAGAACCAGAGCCTCTGAGAGATAGTCTTAAAAAAAAAAAAAGAAAAACAAAAAGACTACTGAATAATGAAATCCAATCAACTAAGAGGCAGAGCAGAGCAAAGGATTTACAAATGGAGAAACTGCATTTTAAAAATTGACAATGAGCATTTACTTTAATAAAGTATCAAACATTTACCAAAAATTAGAAAAATCCTCCCCTAAATTAATATCAATCTCAAGGGACAGTAAAATAATTTTTTAAAAGAACAAAGTTGAAATCATATTTTCTGATTTCAAAACTTACTACTCAAGACACTGATATTCACACAAAGACACATAAATAGACCAATGGAATAGAAGAGAGAGCCCAGAAACAAACCCTCACCAGATACAGTCAAATGGATTATCAACAAGGATGCCAACACTATTCTACGGGCAGAGGACAGTCTTTTCAACAAACAGTGCTCGGAAAACTGGACATACACATACAAGAAAGTCAAAATGGACTCTTACCTAACACTGTATAAGGAAATTAACTCAAAATGGAGCAAAAACCCAAATGTAAGAGCTAAAACTACAAAGCTCTTAGAAAAAAGCCATAAAAGTTTTATGACATTAGACTTGGCAATGATTTCTTGTATATGACATGAAAAGCACAGTCAACTAAAGAAAAAATGACAAGCTGGGTTTTACCAAAATTTAAAACTTTTATGCATCAAAGGACACTATCAATAGAGTGAAAAGGCAACTCACAGAACAGAAGAAGAGATTTTAGTTCATATACCTAGCAAGGGGTTAATATCCAGACTATACAGAGAACTCCTATAAATCAACAACAGAAAATAAACCCAATTAGAAAATGGGAAAAGGACCTGAACATTCTCCAAAGAAGATAAACAAATGGCCAATAGGCACTGAAAAAATGCTCCACACTACTAGTCATCAGTGAAATGCCAAACAAAACCACAATGACGTACCACTTCACACCCATTAGGATAGCTACTATTATTTAAAAAAACAAAATTTTAATAGGAAAAAAACAAAGAGGATGTAGAGGAACTGGAACCCTCACGCATTGCTGGTGGGAATGTAAAATGCTGCAGCCACCATGGAAAACAATACGATGGTTTCTCAAGACCAAGAACATAACATTATCAAATGATCCAGCAATTCCACTCCTAGATGTAAACCCAAAAGAACTGAAAGCAGGAACTCAGACAGATATTTGTACACCAATGCTCACAGCAGTACTATTTGCAATAGCCAAAAGTAGAAGTAATCCAAGTGTCTATCAACGGATGAAAAAAGAAACTGTGGTATATACATATATGGAATATTATTCAGCCTTTAAAAAGCATGACATCCTGATGCATGCTGCAACGTGGATTAATTTTGAAAACATTAAGGTAAGTGAAATAAGCCCAACACAAAAGGACAGACATATGATCTCACTTATATTAAGTACCTAGAACAGGGAAATTCATAGAAACCAAAATTATAACAGATTAGCAAGGGCTGGGAGGAGAGGGAATGAGGAGTTACTAGTTAACAGGTAAGAACCTCCATATGGGATAATGAAAAAGTTCTGGAAATTGACAGTGACTGTGGCTGCTTAACATGGTGAATATACTTAATGCCACTGAATTAAACATTTTAAAATGGCTAAAATGGTAGTTTTGTTATGCATATTTTATAATTAAATTTTTTAAATTAAAATATTATGCATTATTATATATGAATTATATCTCAATAAAGTTGATTGGCAAAATTTATAAAATTTTATAAATACCCACTGTTGAAAGGTATAATAAAAGGGCATTTTTACACACACTGACTGGGAATGAATGTTGATACAATGTTTCTGCAGAGCATTTCAATAGTTTATCAGAAGCCACAAAAATATATAATGCTCTCTATCCCTTAGTCCTAATTCTATGAATCTGCCACAAGAAAAGAAAAAAAAAAGATAGGCAGAAGGATTTAAGCACAAAAGTGTTCATCAATATATTGTTTACAATATTGTAAAACTATCCCAAAATAAGGACAGGGTAAATAAAATGAGCAAATATTTATAGTTTATAAAAACAGGTGTATCTTCAAAAACTTAAATAACCAATAACATTAAATAATATATAACGTATGTTATAAAGGGAAAAGAAAAGTACTTAATATATGTTATAAAGGGAAGAGAAACTTACAAAATTATATGATATTATTTTGTTTTTCTATATGCTGAACAAAGCCAAGGAATAAACCTATTTCAACAGTGATTATCCCCAGCTAAGGTAAGATATCAGATGGTATCCAGGTGATATAAGCCAGGCTAGAAAAGATCTTCCTGGAAGAAGTGGTATTTGAATGGAGAAGAGAGTAAAAAAGTCTCTAAGCAGAGTGCTTGTCTATTCATCATTTTCCTCAAATTAAAAACATTTAATCTTCTATCTAAAACAAACAGAGAAAACAGTAGTACTTGGAAAGGAGTAAGAACGGTCTATCTTTTGAAAAGTCAGCAGGGGGCACCCCATTCAAGGATATAATTTAAATTTTAGCTGAAGTGTTAACAATTTTGTTGGTTTCTTTTTAGCGAGAATACCACAAACCTTCTTAAAGTTTTACATGCTCAAAAATGACCTAAAACTCCTGTTTTGTAATGCTAGATTTTACCTTGGGAGAGTAACACTAGAAGATATTTAAGAATAATTGCCCAAAAAAGTGTTTTGTGAACACCTGTTGTTTCTCCCATATTTTGCCAGTATGGAAAAATAACTACTATCCCACCACTAGCACATTTCACAAAATCCCTTCTCCTTGTCTTTCATGTGCTTCTCCATAATGCAAGATAAGTAGGCTTGGTAACATCAACTACAACTTCCAGACCCCCAAAATATACGAAGCACCCTCTAAGGACCTGTGCAAGGTATTTCATATACTTTTCTCATTCAAAATTTAATTATAAAGAATATATATGCATGTATAAGTGAATCACCTTGCTGTACACCTGAAATCAACACATTGTAAATCAACTATACTTCAGTTTCTTTAAAAATTTAATTGTTATCAAAAATCTATGAAGCAGATACACTATCCCCAATTTACAGATAAGGAACTGACACTCAGCAGTTATGGTAATTTCCCTGGGGGCAGATTTGTGATCCACACCTACGTCTGTCCGAATCCAAAGCACTTTCGTCATCTCACCGAGACTCCCAGGAAGCTGAGACTCAGAAACAGGTCATCATCTGACCAAGTCTCACTGGCGACCAGAGCCTTCTAACACTTTATCTCATGTGCCTTCCACCATGGCATGCTGCCTCCACAATAAGCAAGAACACATCCTTCCGTCAGGAGTCTACAGGTCAGAGTCTCATTAGATTGTTTAAATCATCTTAAGGAAAAACAGAGTGGCACGGGAAAATTCTTTAGGAAGCATAACTAATTAAAACACACGGATAAGTGTATTTGATAAAAGAATATTCAAAAGAGTAATGATTAATAAATTTTCCAGACATATTATATATAGTATTCTAGGATTATATAAACTATTAGCATAAGGACTATTTTGAAATCTTTTTAAATTTACAGTTGGGATGCTTACAGAAACTGCCTGGGATTAAGAGTTGTCATCACTTCAGAATATTTTGTGGCAAGTATTTAGGCCTATGTACTTTTGATAAATATGTTTTAATTACTTAATAAGATAATGTAGAATAATTTACTAAAATATAAATGTTACTTACATATCCCAGTTTGGAGCTATTCGCAAATGCTGGATTAGCAATTGAAACTAGAAAAAAATTAAGATGTACTTCAATTGTGACATGACACAGAAAGCGACCACTATATTAACAAATCAAACCTGTATACAAATGAAATGCAAATCGTGCACCAGGGAAATATTTACAAAGATGCAAAAGCACTGAATATGTAAGATAAAAAATAAAAACTAAGAATAAGGACTTTCAGTTTCTCCAACCCAATTATATTCCCTAAATTTGCCCTAGCCGCTCACTCCACACACACACACCAAGTATCAAATAAAGAACTTAATCATCCCTGAAGCAAATCAACTTAAATTTTTTCAAGCCGGTTCCCAAATGAAGGTCCACAAGGGAAAATGCCCCCAACTGCTGTAACTCCTTTCTGAGGATGACTTTGAACGCTCTGCCAAATGCCCATGGTTTCACCGATGAACTAAGAGAGTTCGAGAAATAATATTACCAGGAAAAAAGAACCAAGGAAAGTCTTAGAGACTCAATTCTCCCTTCAGTGTCCCATCAGAAACCTTGGAGTTTACCAGGAAGACCCAGTACAAGAGCCCCACTCCACAAGGGTAGCTCACTCCTGCAGCTGATGCAAAGATCTCTATCTTATGACTTGAGAGATCGAAAAAAGAAAAAAGACCTTACAATTATTGCAAGTTAACATAAAACACAAGTGGAGTGTTATAAAACAAGTTCAAAAACATTGTCTACTCAACTGCTTTTAGGCGTGAGCATTCAATAGAGGATATTTCAGCAAACCTATCATCTTGATCAATCACTTTTTTCATTGTAGTTAAATTACCATTTCAGCACTTGCTTTAATCGCCATAGAAATACAAAAGTCACATGCACAAGGCCAGTGCACTACCTACCAGAGGGGACTGGAGGAGCCTGGTGGCCACCTCCCTGTGACTGGCTACCACGCACAGATAGCAAAGGAGATTGAGCTTGGCTCGGGAGGCCCCCGTGCTCTTCTCAGTGGAGTCCATCTGTGAGCACACTTGTTGCAGAAAGTCATTCCAGTCTTGGTCTTTTAGAAATACTAATTTATCCACTGAAGAGGAAAGAAAATATTCAAAGTGGCTATCATGTGAAAAAGGACTGCTGAAAGCATTACAAGAGAAATAAAAAGGAACACAGAATTTCAATAGCTAAGATGAGGACCAAAAAAAAAATCACAACTTTATACTGTCAAAACCAAAAATACTCCAAAGATGTCACTACTTTTATGTCCTCTTCATACTCATCTCTTCTTCTACCCATGGAGACTTCCATATTATGTCAATGGAAAGCTAGGCTTAAAAAAAGAAAATGAGATGCCTAAAGGAGAATTATCCTGCCACCGATAATATAACAAAAATGCAAAATTAAACTGTACTATGAGAAAACAAAATGGCCTTTGTATAAATAAAGCAATCAAGCCTTCAAATGTTGGAAAAGCCAGAAATTCTACAGTTGTTATAAGGTTCCAGTGAAATTATGGGTAAATATAACCAAGTTAATCTGATAGCCAAAATCATCTGGAAATCCCCCATCAAAATCCCCATATAAACAAAAGACAAGAACTGGGAAATGAGATGTCATCTAAAATTAATACAGTTTCACATAATTCCTATCTTTAAACAAAATAAGCTATAATTATTATTATTATTATTATTTCCTAAAATAAAGGGGAAAATGGAAGGAACATTACTTTGAAATAATCCTCTAGGTTTTCATAAACAGTGCTTCTACTTGGCACAGTTTATTTAAATTTGAACATATTTTGTTTATTTTGAAGTTACTTTGATTTGATATAGATTCTACTCTAGTTATGATCAAGAGTTTTTTTCTGGATCTAGTTTAACAGCTTAAAATATAACTTAACAAAATACACCAAAATTTAAGGAAAAAGTCTTTAATTCACCCTAAATAAGACTTTCCATTAGGAGAAAGGAAATGTAATGCTCATCCTTTTAGTATCTCCAGAACCTACACCATCCCCACAAAAGTGAACCATCTGACCATGTTGTCAACTGCCCCACACCCTCAAGTCTTCATTCTGGTCTCCAACTGTCTGCACCCACAAAAGTACAGATGTTGGAAATTCAACTAGCTTTATAAGGGGGAGGGCAGGGGAAGGGCCCACCCATTCATCAGGAAAACTCACCCAGCTTCATGGGAACTTTCCCACCCACAAGAGTACAGCACAGCCCAGACTCAGCCGAACAAGGCCAAAGTCTAGCACAAGCAGACTACAGGTTGTTTCTAACTTGTATGACAATGCCTCAAGATTACAGCCGGTTGGCAAGAAAATGAAAATGTGGCTATTCATAAATAAAATATTCCATTTGCTATTAAATTTCTTATTTGTATCTGTCGGCCATGAATCTAAGTGCTTGATAAGCCCTTTTTGATCCTACCTGAATGTGCTGGTAGATGCAGAATCTTTGGATCAAATTTAATTGGTGGCTGTTTCATTATCTGTGGTTAAAAACAAAACAAAACAAAACCTTTTCATATCAGGAGAGATACCTGTCTCTGTCCTTTATCAGATTACAAATCAATGAGAACAGAACATTGTAAAATTTGTCACCAGAAAGAATAAGCACTCAATAGAGCCCTTTCAGATTAAAATATACAAATACAGATAATATACAAAAATAAAATCACTTCAAATGACATCTGCAATAAAATAAAGCTTCATGGCAAAGAGTTGCCCTATCCTGGCTTACTCTTAAGCTAATTTACCTTAGGTTACAAATTTGGTCATTCAACAAATATTGGGTACCTGTCAGAGTGAGGCCCTATGCTAAGTGCTAAGAGGGATACAAAGATGTAAAAGGCATGACCCTACTGCCACAGAGCTGACACTTTGGTTGAGAAAATAAGACACACACTTGTTTAACAATAAAGAACACAAAATATTTAATTTGGGGTGCAAAACAGGACATAATCATAGACAAAATATTTCACAGAGAAATTTTTCTAAAAAACTAAAGACTACAGCAAGGACTTTAGGTTGATATAGTCAGGGCAGGGTTTCTGTAAGAGCTGGAAGGTGGGCTGAGGTCTTGCAGAAGGGTTAGGACTTGATGGTTGAATTAGAGAAGATACCACTCCATGAATTAAAAAGCATATGATTTTCTTGAGGGAAGTGAAGGAAATGTGTGGTACCTGGGTCAGTGAATTTGGAATAGCTGGGGAACTTCAATCTGAGACTTTAATTTTAAAATGCAACCATCATTTCTATTTCTAACCTCTCCAATATCCCTCTATAGAGCATTTTTCAAATGTTCGCTGGTAGTGTTCTTGCCTAAAATGTATAACCTCATTCTAAGTATGAGAAAAGCTTAGACAAACCCAAATTGAGAGACATTTTACAAAATACTTGTCCAGTACTCTTCAAAGTGTCCACATCATGAAAGACAAGAATGAGAAATTACCCCAAGACCATGAAAGACAAGGACAGACTGTAGGAAACTAATGAGGCCTAAAAACCAACTGAGATGTGGGATCCTCGAACACAAAAGTGACATGAGTGCCACAACCAGCAAAATTAGAGTGAGTTCGATAGTTTAGTAAGTAGCACTGTACTCAGGGTAATTTCCTACTTTTGCTAACATCCTATGTTTTTCTACGATATTAACATTAGGAGAAGCTGGGCAAAAGGTATACAGGACTGCTACTATTTTTGAACCCTTTTTCTGTAAGTCTGAAATTAGTTCAGAATAAAAATTTTTTTTTAAAAAACTAGGGTTTCCCAAGAACAACTATGGCTATAAAAAGAAAGAAATGGAGAATATGGTCAAAAGATAGCACAAATTGTTCTGGAAGTTCCACTGGGAAAAAGCTCCACTACACATTAAATTTGGCATAATATACAGGTACTCTGCCAGATAACTCATAATAAGAAATAGCTCCATTATGAAAAATAGCTGGGTAATCTATATTAAATGTTGTCTACCTAGTCAATAAATAAACATATATCCAAGAACCCATTTGTTCTCAACTATAGCAATGTTCCCCAGTGAGATGAGAGGAAACAGACATCAATTAAGAAAACAGACACTTAGGAAAAAAGGAAGCAAGAAAATCAAAATAGAGGATAGGTGGTGAAATGTAAGTGGGCTGGAGACTGGAAATGAACAGAAAACAGAGGAATGCTGAAAAACTAGGTTTTGTTTAAGGAGCATAATCATTCCCTAGAAACACAGTACTGCATTCCAAAGATGTGAGGCAACAAAAATCACGTAGGGTTACAAGCGCACTGTAACCACGACTCCCCACCATCGACCATGCAGCCCTGACAGCCCACGAGAGGGTGTGGTCTCCATGTGACCTGCCAGCCCACCCCAGCCTGGTGAACACTGCTCGCTGACATCTGCCTTCACAGCATCATGACGAGAATGTTTGGAGTGATTTGCCCAGTACTATGGAGAAATGAAGGGACTGAGGCTAAGGTCTGAGGTCTACAAGTCAGCATGGGCTCCTCAGTCCATGAACTGGTGGGAGGCAGAGCTGCTGCCGAGGAGGAAGAAACCTTATCGCTCCAGTGAAGCAGAAAGTGATGCAGGAGGAAAAGAGGGTTACAGACAGGGTGGGAGTTACAAACGTAGACGTGTCACACGAATGAAATAAAAGCAGACAAGAGGAACTGGCAAGAATATAAGGGAGAGGACACTGGGAATGAAGACACCACACAGATTTCGGCCCTCGGTTGTTCAGGCGTCTTTCCGTACCTTGGGATTGTCGAGAATTGGGGTGACGACAAGATCTGAGTCTGTGTAAATGAGCTCTCTCATCTGGGACTCCAGGTCCTGTTGACTCAGCTGCCCACTGGTAACCTGAAAGAATAACAAAAACTAGACTTTGTTTCTGTGACCAGGGACAAGCTTTAAAAGACAGCTAATAAGATGCTAAGTAGACACCACTGAGAAAGGTCATCTGTGTCAACGGGCCTCCACTGCTACTCAAACCGCTTCCACAGACAGTCTCATCTGATCTTCACACAAGTCCTAAATCTTGTGCATCAGTATCCCCATTTTTACAGATGAAAAACACAAGCCTCAGAGAGAGTAACTGACTTGTTCATGTTTACCACGAAGGCTGGATAGGACTAGAAAACAGACCTTCTATAGTTTGATTTTCTAAACTACAATGAAGCAAATCAGATTTTCAATTACCAGCATGGTTTTTATCTTTCATCCATCAAACATTAATCAGTTTATTCCTGCTTCACAGAATATTCAATATGAAGTTAAAATTACAGCATAAAAACATTTCAGACTGAAGTACTGACCTTTCAAGTATTAAACCTAATTAAAGTGGAGTTGACACATAATGAAAACGATTAACCAGATGTTTGCCATCCATTATTCCTGAGACGTTTCTTTGTGCTCTCCTTAAACACAACTTTTATTCCCAGTGCTATGCCTTACTATTTCATAGCAGAAAAAAAAAAGGATTTATGCATTAAGAACTTCCACTGAAACACTGACCAACAAACTGCTAACCAGAAAACCAAATCAGCCATGTGAAAGATAAGTAGAAAAAGGTATTACTCAAAACTGAGGTAGGGGCATGAGCTAATCAAGTTCCTTTGCAACTTAAAAGATAAACATATAAGAAACACATGAGGAATACGTAAAGGAAGAACTTTGTAAAAAAAAAAAAAAAAAAGGTTAAAGAACATGGACTTTTACAACAGAAAGACTTGAAAGAAAAGCCAAAATGATATCAACTGAAAAACAGTGAAAAAATCATCTAAGAATTGGTAAAGTAGACCAGTTAGAAAAGTATATTTATTATACGCTTATATATTATATATTAATCTCATATATATAAACTGAATGTATGCACAAATAGCAGGTTATAAAAATGTAACATCCCATTCACAATAGCAAAAAATAAACGAATAAAATGAAGTGCTCAGGAACACACTGATCAAAAACAGTGAAGACTTACTAACCGAAAAAAATTACATTATAAAATTGTTTTCTTGCTGAAAAAAGAACATGTATGTATAGAAGAAGGGAACAACTCTTCTACATATTTCAAGTGTTCTATAATTGAGTAATTTTAATTGAATAAAAATACATCATTTTAAAAATTATAAAACTCCCTTATAGTACTTATCAACATTTGTTTAATTATAATTATGTTTGTATAATAGCAAATATAATTACTAATTTGTTAAGTATTCTCAAAAGGATTACATACACTCGTCTACAATAAACATCAGGTAGAAGAAATTCAACATCTATCACATTTCAGGATGCATTTTTTACCTTTACACTGATTTTTCTATCTCACATATAATGAATTATTAGCACAGTGAGATTTTATTATAACCTATTTACATTTCATTTCAATGGAGAATTAAGTTTCACATGGTTCAAATGCATTTCACATTACATAGAAATTACAGTAACAACTAAAAGCAATTACATCCACCAAGCAGTAAGTACAATAAAAGATAACTTGAAAAAATTTTAATTCAAAAATGTGTCTGCACTCAAAACTGTGATTGAAATTGACGAAGATTTCAATAGCAGCACTATTTACAATAGCCAAGACATGGAAAAGACCTAAATGTCCATCGACAGATGAAGAGATGAAGATGTGGTATATATATACAATGGAATACTACTCAGACATAAGAGAATGAAATAATGCCATTTGCAGCAACATGGGTGGACCTAGAGATCGTATTAAGTGAAGTAAGTCAGAAAAAGACAAATATTGTATGATATTGCTTACGTGGAATCTAAGAAAAAAATGATACAAATTCTATTTCCTAACCAAAAATAGACTCATGGACATTGAAAACAAACTATGGTTACCAAAGAAAGGGTGGGAGAGGGATAAATTAGGAGTTTGGGATTGACAGGTAATTAATATATATAAAATAAACAAAAAGGACCTACTGTATGGCACAAGAAACTATATTCAATTTCTTGTAATAATAAAATGGAAAAGAATCTGAAAAAATATGTATGTATGTATATGTCTAACTGAATCATTTTGCTATACACCTGGAACTAACATTGTAAATCAACTACACTTCAACACAAAATAAATTTTAAAACACACACACACAAAGGAAATATAATAATAAAGATCCTATGTTCCTGGAGGAAAACTTGATACTGTTAGCATGGCAATACTCCCACACTGCCCTAGAGATTCAACACAGTAACACAATTGCTATCACAATCCTAGCTGGCTTCTTTGCGGAAACTGACCAACTAATCCTAAAATTCATAGGAAAATGCAAGAGACCCAGAAGAGCCAAAAACTAAAAAACGCTCAAGAAGAATAAAGTCAGGAATCATACTTCATAATTTCAAAACCTACTAAAAAGCCACCACAATTAAGACAGTGTGCTACTAGCATAAGGACAGACATACAGATCAATGGCAAAGAACTCAAAGTCCAGAAATAAACCTTCACATTTACAGTTGATATTCCACAAGAATGCCAAGTCAATGAAATGGGGGATGAGTCGTCTCAACAAATGGCACTGAGACAACTGGACATTCACACATAAAACAAACAAGCTGGACCCCTACCTCATGCCATATACAGAAACTAACCAAAAATGGGTTAAAGATCTAAATTTACCTGCTAAGCATAGGCATAAAACTTCACAACCTTAGAGTAGGCCATGGTTTCTGAGTTACGACATCAGGAGCACAGGCAATAACACACACACAAAAGATAATATGGACCACATCAAAATTAAAAACTTTTGTGCTTCAGAGGACACTAATACGAAGTGAAAGGAAAACCCACAGAATGGGAGACGTTTCCAAATCATTCATCTAAGATATATAAAGAATGCCAACAACCCAATAATGAGCAAAAAGTTCGAATAGATATTCTTCCAAAGAAGATAGGCAACTGGCCAATAAACACATAAAAAAACGCTCATCATTAGCCAGTAGAAAAATGAAAATCAACACTACGGTGAGATAAAATTTCACATCTCGCTAAGATAACTATAATCAAAAAGACCATGCAACAGTATTCACAATAGCCAAAAGTTGAAGCAACCAAAGTGTCCATCGAAAGATGAATGAAGAAATTGGTACATTCACACAATGGAGTATTATTCAGCCTTAAAAAAGGAATGAAATTGACACATGCCACAACGTGGATGGACCATGAAGACGTTATGCTAAGTGAAATAAGGCAGATACAAAAGGACAAATATTGTATGATTCCACTTATATAAGGTTGCTAGGCAAATTCATAGAGGCAGAAAGTCAAGGGGTGTAGGGAATGAGTACTGGTGATGGTTGCGTAACAATGTAAGTGGACTTAATGCCACACTTATAAGGGTTAAAACAGTAAGTTTTATGTAACATATATTTTATCACAATTTTAAAAAAGACAGTAACAAGTTTTGGTAAGGGTGTGTAAAAAACTGGAACCCTCATAGGGTGGTGGTCAGAAAGCAAAATGGTGCAGCTGCTTTAGAAAACGATTTGGCATTTCTTCAAAAGGTTGAACAGGATTACCATACGATGCAGCATTTCCAGTCCCATGGATACAAAAAGAAATTAAAACACACACCCACACAAAAATGTATACAAACATTCGTAACAGCATTATTTATAATAGCAAAAAGACAGAAACAAGCCAAATGTCCACAAACTGATAAATGGAATAATAAAATGTGGTACATACAACAGAATTATTACTGAGCAATAAAAAGGAATATAATACTGACACGCTACAGTTTGGATGAATCTTAAAAATATTGAGTGAAAAAAGCCAATCACAGAAGATCACATATTGTGTAATTCCATTTTATATAAAATATCCAGGATAGGCAAATTTATAAAGACAGGGAGTAGATTAGTGGTTGCCTAGGACAAGAGGGCAGAGAAACGGGAAGAAAATAGCAGTGACTGCTAATGGGTACAGCTTTTCTTTGTGGGATGATGAGAACATTCTAAAAGTGACTGTGGTGCTGACTGCGTAACTTTGAGTAGGCTAAAAAGCCCCTGAATCATATGCTTTTAAGTGGGTGAATTACGTGATATGTCAATAATATCTCGATAAAACTGTTTTCAAAGTAACTATGAAGCACCTCTCTCTTAACAGTACTTACTAGAAAAACCAATGATAATCAAGGAAGATGACCTAGCTGTACATTTTGCAATTTCAAACACAGTTCAGAGATTAATTTCCAATTATTCTTCTCAGTCTATACATTTTATGTAAAAAAAAAAATCCATCTCTGCTCACCTTGGTCAAAGGAGAAGCCTTCTGTGGAGAATTCTGAGTCATATTCTCACCGGGACTTAACACCACTGCAGTGCTAGTTCTCGGAGTAGGACGAGAACTGAAAACATGCACAAGAGGTAACATTCAGATTTCAGAGACTTTATCCTGTTTACTCTTTTCTGGGAAAAAAACACATCTCACAGAAAATAGTAGAATATGATGATCCTATGAGATCTCATATAGAAAAATGTTTAAACTCTAATTTGTTTATATGACACTTATTTTTGCAACTGATTTTAAAGTAATTGCATGGATAATTATTTCTTTTATTTACAGCTTCTATGCTATATTCAGTATATTCTGTTTTAACTAGAAATCTTAAAACACTGATTTTATTATGTCTTTAATGTCTGCTGGTCCAGCAGGATTAATGTAATAAAGTAGATCAGATATTCTACAAAGCATGGAAAATATTTATAATTTTATTTCAGAAAATGTTTAAAATGGAAAATTACCTTAGTATGTACTTAAATAGCAAGTTATAATCTGCATCTATTTTTAATGATTCCTCCTAGACTTATCAAAGGCTGCTCTGTGGGCCACTCCATTACACCTGGGTCTCTGATTTTGAGTTTTACGTATTTTAAGAAATTCTTCCCTTCAGATCATTAGGTCTTTTTTGATGAATTCCTTCAACCTCCCCAATAACAGGATTCTCACTCCACTTTCACTTACTTGTCTTTTTATTCACTTGTTAAACAAGTACTTACTTAGGTCACAAAATATACCAGAAGCTGTACAAAGTTTCTTTAAAAACTGAATTTAAAATGCCTAAGATGTGTATACATAAATTTAACATACTTTGTATTTAAATACAGGTAAAACAAATCAGGAAATTTTAGATTATCATAATAACCCCTACGTCATGAAACTTCCTCTATGAGTCTAAAGCTATGAATAAACTATAACACTTAATATTTATACATATTAAAATTGTAAACATACTGGTCTTAATCACTTTAAAATACCGTTCTGACTAAATTATTTCAATGATTACGAATATTGTTGAAGCCTCCCAGATAAAATAATGTCTAAAGAAATACACAACCTGTTCCTTTCTGTTAAGTCTTTATCTAAATAAAAGAAGCTGGACTTCTGGAATTTTAAATTCAATGCTGTTTGATGTGAAAGTACAAAATGAAGAAGTTTCAACTCTTATAAATAGGAAAGGTTAAGGATGTTTGGTTAATATTTTGTAAAAATACATAGCAAACTCTATATTTCATTGCCCAGAGCCTAATAACAACTTGGAAAGCAGACAATGAGAACTGGAATTTGGCATCTATCCCTGTCCTTCATGTCTGTGTAACACGGTTTGCCGCCAAGACAACAGATACTTTAAGAAGATATAACTTTCATCTCCCAATTTAACTTTCATTTCATTCCTTACTGCTGTTATTTCACTTACCTGAGAAGAAACATGGACTCACTCAGCTGACCCCCAAGAGTACTCTTAGGCTGCAACTCAGATGGATTTTCTGTGGCAGCAAAGTCCAACATTATCCACGATGGCATCAAAATATGAGCAGGGAATAATGCAGAGATTTAAGAGAGAGAACACGAATCAGGAACTCTCAGCGACAGCGTGTCGAGCAGCGCGACGTGCCAGCTGAAAGCTCACCTAGTCGGAAGGAGTGACTGAGCCGCTGGCCGCTCTTCTCCCCTCTCGCCTGTCCACTCTGAGGACTCTTCAGGAGCTCCTTGGAATCTTGGGACCCAGAATACTCTACATTTCTGCCGTTCGTCAGGAAAAAGCCAACACAATCAAACTTACTACTCCATTTTCTGTAGCATTCTGTGTTCAACAGGAGGTTGGGACTTAAATTACACATGACCTTTGGGAAAATTTTGGAGTCGGAAAAGTAGTATTTTTCACTGAGTAGCAAATGAGCACTTACTACAAGCAAGGCATTGTACTAAGAAGTCTACAAACCTTATCTTTGAAAAATAAACAGAAGCAAGTTTCCCTTTAATTCTTCCCCTTCCAGTATTGCCTGGACTCAGAGGCAGCAAGTACAGACAGGAGCCCCAAGAGAAGCCCTGTTTCTATTCCAAGAACAGGAAAGGGCACCACCCTCCACACAAGGGTTAGAGCAGGAGAAATCTAGTTTTTAATTTTTCTCTTTCCGTTCTGTCTTGCCCCAGGCCCCAGATAATCCTGCAGCAGCTGGTTGGGAGATAGCAGTAGCTTCTGGCCAGTGCCTAAAACTCAGAGAGGGACAGAAGCCAGGTGAACAGGACTAATGACTACCATACCAAATCACTGGCTGGAGAAGGAATGACCAGAAAATGAGCAAAATCAAGAACACTAAATGTCATGACTAAACTCCTTAAGCAACACTTAATTAAATACAAGCTTGATTCTCTATTAATGAAAGCATAGAAATTCATGTCATTGATGCTGCAACAACAGAACAGTAATGGAACAAGTGTTTAATACTCATGCCCCACACGTAAAAATAAGCATATACAACCTCATGTTGGAATCCTCGGTGCTTGAATTCAGATCTTTTCTAGTGAAAGCATCCTTCCAAAATGAATGCTGCAGCAGGCCTGCCCAAGTGAATCTTTACAAAACATAAATGGTAAAATTGTATTTTAACATGATTCACCATGGACTACTCCCAGCACATGTTCCAATGACATGTATCAGATTTGTTTCACACATTCTTTTTTGGAACTTCACTTTTAGAACTTCATTCAGAAACAAACTAGCTTACCATGACTATACATAAACTGTTTAGGAGTCAAAATGTTATCTAACTAGTTCACCTACATTGAAATGACTGTAGGCCACATCTAAAACCCAGACTCACTTTCAAGGCATTAAGTTTTACTACTAATAAAGTATACCCAAGGTGTACTCAGACTCAGAATGGTTAAGCCCAACTAAAATTTAAAAAAAAAAGAAAGAAATTTCTATCTGATTAATTATTCAAAATTCCTGTACTAAAATAAAAACTACTTTGATCAAAATTAACATACAAATGATAAAGAATCTGCAACCACATATAATATCCCTTCCATACAAAGGGCTCCTAAAATTCACTAACAATTAAAATTACTAATAAATGGAATTCCTTTTTCATCTATCTGATTGGCAAAAATTTGTAAGATCAACAGCCCATTGTAGGTAACAATGGGAAGGAAGGAACTTTCTCATGTTGCTACAAGTAGAAACCAGCCCATGTTCCTAAGATGCAGCAAATGTACCAAACTTTTTAATATTCTGAGTCTTTGGCCAGGAACTCCACTTTGAGAGATTTATCCAAATGAGATGACTGCCTAAGTGAACATTAACAAGAAAAGCAGACAAAAGGATATTTACTGTAGCAGTGTGTAGGATATTCTAAATTAAGAAGCATCCTTAAATGCTTAATTTTATCTAAATTAAGAACATCCATAAATGTTATTACAGGTTATCGCACGAACATTCAGCAGCCATTTACAATGACTAAGCAGACATAAAAAGAGAAAAAACTAGGTTATGGAATGGCCTCATTTATGCAAAAAAGTATTTAATACTGGGATATAAATACATGGACATAATTAAGTCCTAAATAAAATAAAGTATATTTGTATTGTATCAAAAGATGTCTGGAGGATTACCCACCAAAATAACACTAATCCTAAAAGCATTCTATTGTAAGCATAGGAGCGTCTTACAACTTAGATTAGAACCAACATTTCCTTCTGCAGTTTTTCTCCTCACATTTAATGAAGATACGTTACATGCGACACTAATTTTATTCTTCTTTTCACACTCTGAAGCAGAGACCCCAAATACTTGCCTAAAACGTCCAGTTACCTAATGGCAGAACTAGAAGTGGAAACCAGTTTCTCTTGTCTCCCAGCAGGGAGACCTCCCTCCCTCCCTACTCCCCACTCCTTCCTGTTCTCCCCGACTCCATAGCAGAAGGCTATCTAACTTTCTGCCAACACTGCGAGGAAAATTTACGCTATCATCCTGTCATGTGATACCCCCAGTATGACAAGATCATCATATAATCACCACATTAAAATACGTTATATTAAGTGTCTTGACACTAACATCCCTGGTTCAGTAGTCTAACACAGTTTTAGCCTGAAATCCACAGTGGGAAAAAAAATGTACTTCCTGGATTTAGGAGTTACAAAAAAACCTGTCAGCCGATGAGGCAACTGTTTGCTACACTAAAAGAGAAACTGACTTTTTCAATTCCCAAACAGAACACTCAATGTAAACTCAGATTTCTTTTTTTTTAAAAAAAAGATAATTTGAACAGCTTTGTATATTAAGAACAGCACCATTTTAGAAGTACTATAAGAAAAAAATGATTCCACTCTTTATTCATCTTAAAATACAATCCATACATACCTTTTCTGAGGATCTTTTTGAAGTAAACCATCAAGCAAATTAATAAAATCTGAAGAAGCTTTAGGAAGAGAAGGATCTATACACAAATACCCAAAAAGAAAAAAAAAAGTGGTAAGTAACTGAATACATACTCGACATCAACATTTAAAGCAACAGTATTTTAAGCACATGAATTATTTTTAACAGAACACGGAATATATTAATTTCAGCCTCTACTTAATGGTGGGGGTTGGGAGAGCAAATAAAAAAACATGTTTTCCTGAACTACAAAAAAACAAAAATCTCAAAAACTAAGTTCTGACTAACCTCTGAACCTTTTTATCGAACAGCTCCAGCAAGGGTCACCAGCCTGACAAACTGAACCCTTGTCTTCAACTATTAATTATGCCTCATCATCTGAGGCATTCTTAACTTGACCAGGTTTGCTTTAGAATACACTGTGATTAGAGTACTCACAATCCCTCTTTACAGATTTTTTTAAACAGGAAAATAGTCATATTATTATGATACTGTCCAATTCCATTAATCTCCAAGTGTTTTGTCTTTTTGTATCAGACAGATATAATCCGTGGTCTAATTATCAGTCTATGGGTAAAAGTGGCCATGAAGACCATGGCCAAAGCCATCAAAACAGATGGCGCTATCGGGCACTGTGGCCACAGTCTGATGAAGACCCTTGTGAAATAATTACACTGGGGCCACCAGTGCTGTCCTGATCAGACCCCTCTGATACTTTCATTCTCAGATTTCTCTTCCCTTTCAGTTACAGGAGAAAACAATGATCAACGTTGTATTTAAAACAAAAGAAAAAAATCTTTAACTTAGAGGAGAAAACAAACAATACTGTATTTAAAACAAAACAAAAAAAATCAGAAGTTATCATTAGAAGGAACTGAAATGACTGATTTCTACAAAAAACTAATATAAATTAAATAAAGAAATATAGTTTTTGTTTTAAGAAATATAAACTATTTTCAAAATATCAAGCATTTTGTTTTTTCACTTAGGATGATTCTTAAAATACTGAGAATATTCTGTATTCTATTTCTTCCATTAATTACTTCCAATTTTTTTTTTCTTTTAAGCACTCACAACCATATTTTTCAAAGTCCTGTTTTCATTTTTGTGTCTTAAGATTCAGGTCTTTTGTGGTGCACAGCCAAGTGTTCTATGATGTTTGTACCTTCTTTTCTTTCCTTAAAATTGTTAATGGTAGACTGTTACATTAATTACAATTTGCATGATTAAATTTCCAACACTTCAGAAATACTACAAGTGTATCTAGCTTAAAAGTAAAAAACTTCTGACTCATCGAGGTAAGGACTGAGAAATGCCTAATTTGTTCCTAATCAAATACTAAATAGAAATAACTACACAGGACTTGAGTATGTATTACGTAAATGGTACGTACACAGGAACACACAAAAAAGACATAAAAGCAGTATTTTAAATCTTTAAACCAGACTTCTTTTGACACAGGAGCACAAAATAATTTGTATTTTTAAATGAGGGAAACTCTCAGTAGTGTTTTCTTTTCCATTTCAGTATCTTTTAAAAAACTGCAAAGGGAATGCTGACATTTCTAAAAGTATCAGTTTGTGAATATCTATAAAATATAAATTTGAGGCATCATGAATCAATAAAAACACTTCTGGATAGAAGTGCACCTTTAGTCAGTGTATAAAGGAAATTAACTCCATTTGTAATAAAAATCCTACCTTTTGGAATAGGTGGCAAAGGATCGTCATAAAAAATCTTTTCAATTAATTCTGATAAACTTTCTGAGAAAAATGGAGGCTTTCCTGAAATCATATGAAAATGCAAAATTAAACAAGTTTGTTATCACCAATAATTCTTAATAAATCTCAACTACAGATAGTTCAGGGTTACTTAATTTACAGGAAAAAATATGTATATAACACTGATTACTAAATGCCTAGTGCCTACCAGGCACATTGTCTATATATTTCTATATTTTGATAATTCAACATTTCTCATCCTAACAAATACACAAATTCACTTATAGACCATTAATTACCAGGATCCAAGGGCTACACGGGCCATTGGACTCATAATTAGTCATAGGTACCTTTATAAGATTTTTCTACTAATAGTTTTTAATAGTTGGACATATTTCAATATTCCAAATTATTATCATGAAAAATACCTCCACGTCAGACGTTCCTAAAAATCTGCAGTTGCCTATACACCAAGCAATTCAGCCAAAATCAGCACATAGAAAAATTCAGAAACACCAGCTTTTTCACATCTTACAGGTCAACTACTTGTGAACTACAGACTTAACCTTTACGTGTATATGTCTAGCTCTGATTTTCAACTTAACCAGAAAGTATTTACCTGAGAACATTTCATAGAGCAGACAGCCCAGAGACCAGAGGTCACTGGTGATGGAGAAGTCGGTACCCTTCACAATTTCTGGAGCTGTGTAAGTAAGAGATCCTAAAAACAAAGGATAAAGAACAGCTTTGTCAGTCATTTGTACTGTTCCCAACACTCATCCACCTAAGAGAGACCAGTGATGAGAGAGACCAGGTGAGGGGGCCAGGACGCCCGGGCCCCCTGCCCAACACTCAATAGGTGCTCCAGTAATAGTTGTTGAATGTTCATGTCTGTCTGTCCTCCCTGACTAGAAATTTAAGTTCAGTAAAGTCCCCACTGTCTCAGGTCAGCACCAACGTTAAAAGACTCTTCGTGCCTGAGCACCACTTCCAGAGAGCCACCGTCAAGCCCACCACGACACCCAGCCAGTAGCAGATGTCAAGAGACAAGGAATTTTTTTCAAGTGCCTTGATCATCAACATACTTAGACTGAGATTTCCAAACCCCTGATAAGGGCGTCCTCCATTCTTGGTCAAAGAGACTAAGTATCCTCATTACGGGGACTATTCTTAGATTAAGCTCAGAAGTAACTGAGCCTATCTGCTAGAAAATGACTCATTTCTCTACAACACAGTCCCCTCCCCATTATGAAAGGGGAATGTTATCAAATACACATTTCTGAAATATACCACCCTCCTTGTTTTCTATAATAAAAGCAGAGTCTGCAATATTCCTTTTTATAAAATGCCATACTATGGAATGATATTTGGGGATTTAAAAAGCCCTCTTCTTGGGCATGAAATCTTACTGCAAGACCAGCCCCGAAAGTTAAATTTTCTTCACTCCTACTTTTTTGGTGCCTATAGTTAACCGGCTGCTCCCATCCCTTTCCCTCATTCTTCTCATCTGGGGACCCAGGATCACCAAGCCCAAGGATGATGCCCTCTCTCACACTGCCCTTCACTTCACAGTGAGACTGCCCGGGCTTCCGTGCTCCGAAGTCTCGAGTACCTGCCCAGGGAAGCTGAGGGAAAAACACCTTCACCACTTCTGTCAGAAGTTCTGGTCTAAGAAAGAACACTTCACACTTTTCAAGTACAGTGGTCTAACAGCCCAGGCCCCTTCTCACCATCAAAACCACCTCCCTCAAGGACACACCCATAAAACTCCTCCTTCACTGCAGAACATCAGCTACTCCACAATGTTAAGTATCTACAGAGCCACGAGTGTGTGCCGGACACTGCTGTGCGTGCTGGGAATACAGATACAACAGGGAGAGACAACCTTCGGCCATGTTCTCATGAGTCGTCAATGACATATAAAGCTAAGGATGAGACACAAGCTTTTTCAGAGGTTCCCTGGACCCTACATGGCATCAGAGCCACACAACAAACTTAAGACCATGGACAAAGCTATCCCCAAACCCAGACTTCTCCTGGTCATTATTATTTTCAATACATGTGTGACTGGCAAAACCAAAAGTGGACAGTATCTCCTCAACACATGACTTGGGGAGGAGGGTGTGGCTCAGTGGTAGAGTGCGTGCCTGGCGTGCACGAGGTCCTGGGTTCAATCCCCAGTACCTCTCGTAAATAAATAAGTAAGTATATAAATAAACCTAATCTCTCACCTCCTGCCAAAAAAAAAACCAAAAACAAGAAAACATAATTATTTGTGACTTGGGCTGCCCACAACTAGAACTCTGACTTTGATGCTTCTGCACCTACCTTTGACTCTACTTTTCATGTTTTTCTTCAGTACATTTTCCCCACTATCACCTCCTCCTTCTTCTGCTGCCACCAAGGCAAAGAACTCTTCCAAATTTTCACCTTCCACTTTGGCCAAGCAAAAATTACTGAACTTCAATGTGCCGGGCCCTTCCAAAAGGATCTATAAAGTTTAAAAAACAAATGTGTTCAGAAACAAGTTCAAGTCAGTTGGCACTTCCATCAGTATCTCTTAGAATCTCACTACAGAACTTGGAGTATTGACTTTCTCACTTCATCACAACTCAGAAAATGAAATGCTTACAATTATTTAGAAAAAAGCCAAAGAAAAATAAATCTGACATTTGAATAATAATAGACACAAATATTAAATTGTCCCTTCTCAGATGTATATGATAAATGCATCATATAACCACAGAGGGAAACCAGAGACTTTGGGGAAAGGTTTTTAAAAAAAAAATATGGAACAACCTTTATTCACCAATCCTCAGTGACAGTTCAAACAGGATTTGGAAACCCACCTCCAAGGGGTTGTTTATTCAAAACAGGAAGTATGATTTAGGGTTAAGAAAGACTAGGATTTTGAAGTTCAAGATCTAGATTTGAGCCCCAATTTCACCACTTACTGACCTGCAGAATTTACTTAACAGATGTAAACATCAATCTCCTCACCTATAAAATAGGAAAAATGATACTTAACTCTTAGGATTGATGTAAAGATTGAGGTTATACTTGATGCCAAGGGCATTTAACAGTGACTGCATGTGTTACTGTTCAAGTCGGCTAATGTAATTTGTGATTAGAAGTTATCTGTTTCTTGATTGTTGAAATCATGCCAGGAACCAGTGTTCTATTACTTTTATCTTTTCCTCTCTGCAGTGTGTGAGGGTGCTTTTTGGTCTTTAAAAGCATTTAAGTTTACCCTCAACTTCTGGCCACCAATACTAAGGATGCCTGTTAGTCCACAATAGTGACTTTTAAACTTGAGCACCTGGAGGCCCTGTAGAGAAAAACAACTAGTCCCTACTTCCAGAGTTTCTGAATCAACAGGTCTAGAGCGGGGCCCAAGATCCTGCATTTCTAACAAGTCCCAGGTAAAACTGATGCTGCCAGTCCAGGGAACACACATTGAGAAGCAGCAGCAGTGGGCAGGGAAAAAAATTAAGTTGGTAAATATTTTAGGCTTTGCAAGCCATAAGGTCTCTGTCCTGACTACTCAAGTTTGCCACCACCGACAATACTTAGATGAAAGGGCGTGGCTGTGTCCCAATAAAACTTCGTTTTCAGAAACAAGGCATTCTGCCCGAACTCTACCAACCCCAGTTCTAGAATAAAGGTTATGTTACAAATCAGCCTGAAGCTCCTTGGCTACCAGCAGCGGACACAAGACCTCATTAAAGAACTCCCACACAAGGGCTGGCATATTCCAGACTCTAGGCCAAATCCTGCTACTGCCTACGTTCACATAAGCAGCAGCTAAGAGTGGTTTTGACATTTCTCAATGGTTGAAAAAAATTAAAGATAAATACTTCTTGATGTGTGAAAATTACATGAAATTGGCATTTCAGTGTCTGAAAATAAAGTTTTATTGAAACAAAGCTGCAACCATTCATTTACAGACTGTTTATAGCTGCTTTCAGGGCCATAACACAGTTAAGTGGTTATAGACTTAAGTATATGAATACTTCAAAGAATGTCTATTCATTACATAGTTTTTTGGAGGTTTTTAGGTTTAATTATGTTTTTATACAGATGGCCAACAATAACGTTTAACAAGGAAATGTTCAGCTTTTCATTTCATTGTGTTCACATTAACAAAGGAAAAGTAGCAACTCAGATCAGGAACACATACAATCCCTGAGAGTATGTACTTATAAAGAGAATAATAGATGCCACTGATTGAAAGCGCACTGTCTACCAAAAAGAGTCTTACAAGTTTAATCTAAACGTAGTATGTAATCCTCACCAACTCCCTGCAATGTCTATCTCCATATCATAGGCAAGAAAACTAAGGTGCAGAGAGAAGGAAAGGGTAACTTGTCCAGGCAACACAGCTTCTAAATGAGACTCGGACACCAAGCAGGTTCTGTGACTCAACAACACTGAAGTACATTAAGTTATAATTAGTTTTACCAGAAAAGAAAATATTTGATCCGTAATATTAGGCATCACACATACATAGCCAAAAATGTCATTATCAAACGAAAATAATGGCTCATAACTGTGTGCTATAATTTATGAGCGAAGAGTCTTATTTTTTGGATCTATTGAGCTCATTGTTCACAATACACCTCAAGGGCAATAGTAATTACTCAAAGAGCCCTGAAAGGAGGGGAGACCTCGCATTCTAAAAGCTTCTTCAAAAGGTAGCTAAGTAGGAACCTAAAATACAGTACTGTATGATTCCTTTCATTTAAAAAACATTTAACTTAAAATTTCAAGATGGTCTAGATCAAAACTGTACCTAAAAATAAAAACATCTTTGAGGGAGCACTAAATTAAGCCATAAATAGTCAGGAAATCAAAACTTTCATAAATTACCTTCCCAGGAGAAATGTCACAAAAGAGAATGCCAAGTTGATGGAGATGATGTAATCCAGTAATTAGGTCAATCCCAAATTCTCTCACAACATCTTCTGGAAGGTTTTCATCTTGAGCAATAACCATTTCTAAGGAACCACCTGGAAGTTGATTAAAATTACCCACTTTAAGTCATGAACATTACACAGTGCCTCTGGGAGGTTCCACGTTGGGAGCTGAGCACTAAAGCATGATCAAATCAGACCCCTGGACAGTCTGGCAGGGTAAACATACATGTGAATGAACAGTGATTCAAGTACCCTAACAGAAATCTGCATCCTTGCTCCAGAGCCAGCTCAGAGAGAACAACTACTTGGTCTGAAAGGTGGTCAAAAAGTAAGCTAGGGGGCTGAAGTGAGAATCACTCTGATTGCTCACTCCAGATCCCTCAGGAAATGAGCAGCTACAAAAATTAGTGTTATTTACCTAAATCATGCACTTTAATCACATTACACAAAGTATAGTCATGCTTATTCCTGTGCAAAGTTAGGTCACATTCAGCAAGTACTGCATGGCAAAAAAAAAAAAAAAAAGATGCTCTTCCTGAAGTTAGAAAATCACCAAGTTTAATGTACAGCACTGATGATATAAAAGGCCAATGGGAAACACACAGGCAATTCCACATCTATATCCTTCCAGGGTCCAGTCACATCTCTACCATCTAAGTGCCAGAAACAAACTATTTTTCCCCCAAGGTCAAGATTATTAACAGCAGTCAAGTTCAAAGAATGTGAAGTCGTAGCTGGCATCTGCAAGTTCTTTCAGAATTACTGTGATGAAGGTAGGAGGTAGTTTGAGTTTTGTTCATTTTGTTTTGGTGGGTGAGGAACAATTCCACACATAGGTATAAATTAGAGATAGGCTATTATACTGGTCAGTGGTCAGAAATAACAGCCAAAGCAATAAGAAACACAGGTTAAGTCCCCTGCTCACCTCAGCAGTGTGCACAACTTACGAAAGTAATTAAACCACTGTCCGCTCCTACTGACTCAGAAAAGTAAAATGCAAGTAAGTTATTATTCCAAATAACCTCTTTCATGATTCAGTTTTATAAATTGAGTGCCCATAGGTAAAAGACTCAGAGCTAGAAATAATTACAATATATCCTAGTATTTAATGATTCTTGATTATTACTCAGTGTATGAATAGAAGTACGCTGGACCTGGTCCTTGTTACACTTTCTTCCTGAAGACACAAAAACTAAAAGCCCAGATAGTATCTATGTATTTGGTCACCTTTCTCCCTGTACATAGTCCTGGAAAGTTATAACAAGCAGGAGCTATAACATGTTATCTCTAGTTATTGGGAGGTGGTGGAACGTGCTGGTTCATCTGTGTAAGTCTTTATTAAAAGCAAGTACCCTTTCCATAAAAATTAAAAGATGAGCACTTTATGGACTAATTAGCTATAGCTAGTTGATCTAAAATACTTTGTTACTAAATATGAAAGCTTGTTTGATAAATTAATCATCACTAAAAAATATTTCTAAATTGTATGTAGGTGATTTAGTAACATTTTACACCACATTAAAGTTAATCCCAAGATAAACAAGTTCATGCTGTATAGCATAGGGAACTACATTTGATATCTTGTAATAACTTACAGTGAAAAAGTATATGAAAATGAATATACATTCATGTATGACTGAAGCACTGTGCTGTACACCAGAAATTGATGAACACTGTAAACTGACTATACTTCAATAAAAAATATATATACACAAATACTGAACTTAAAAAGTTAACCCCAAATTGAATTTTATGTCTTCCTCTTACCAAACATCTCTGCTCTTTTCCCATCCCTAATATCGATCAAACAATAGATGTTCAAGTTAACACGGGTCAGTACTATGAACACTGTTTATACTTGTAACAGAAGAAAAACAGAAAATAACAAAACCTTCATCATGTCTTTTCAGAACTACTTAAGGTGGCTACCACTGTAGCACTTCTTACACACTCTTACCTGTGCAGAGCTCCACGACTAGCCAGAGATGATTGCTGGTTTCGTACCATTCGTGAAAAGTTACGATATTCTTGTGTTTAATTTCATGGGTGAGACGGACCTATAAAAACACACAGCATTCACACTAAAAAAAAAAGTTCTTAAAACCCTTCCATCTACTGAGAAAGCCCTAAATGCACAACGGGTAAATAGATAAGGAAACAGTGGAAGTTATTTGGTGGAATTCTATACAGACACTAAGCATGATGGTTATAAAGCCTGGTGACACGGAAAAATGCTAACTTAATACACAACCTTTAAAAAAGAAAGAAAACCTTGTGCAAGAGTTTTGTGCCTTTGTGTAAATTAACACTGCAGAAGAAATAGTCATAGGAAGATGACCAGAAGGTATACATCAAAATAGCTGCAAAAACTGGAGTTTTAAAATTCTTTCTACTTCTCATATTCTATTTTCTATATTAAATACACAGTACTTTAATAATCAGGAAAAAATAATTTTAAAGGAAAAAACCTTTTAACAGAATAACAATTAAACAAGTTGTAAATCAACTTGTTATTAGGCCAACATTATAGTAATTATTTAATTTTATAACATGGAAAAATGATGATGTTACAATGTTAAGGAAAAAAAATTATAATACCATGATTAGGAAATTTTAAAACTAAGAAAAAAAGACTAGAACCAAAACAGAAAAGTAATTGTCATCAGGTGATAAAATAATGTTGCTTTTTTCTTTCCAGCCATTTTTCTGTATTGTCCAAATTTTCTATAACAATGTATTACTTCTATCATAATATTTAAAAGCACTCTCAAAGGATTCTACGTTTTAAAAAAATATTCCTAGTGAATCCTAATATCAATTCACCTAGATTATTCAAAAGGGGATCATTACCATGAACATTCTGATCTTAAAATGTACATTTCCAGTTAGATTATAATACCTGTGCTCCAAAAACAAGAGTGAATTCAAAACTCAATAATGATAAAGATGCAATAGCCTGTCCATTAAAAAAATACTAAGTTGCTTTCTCCCTTTAAAATCCCATTAAATACAGTAACTAAAACCACAAAAACGTGAGTATTAGCAAACCATCAAGACTCAGGATTGCTGACAACTACCCAAGTGCTCTGGATCCTTGCTTTCTGATTTTCTTTAAAGAACAGCAACAACAAAAAAATTCACATACAAATTCTAATGTCACTCAACACAGGGTAATGGGTCCTTAATTTGTAGAAATACAGAGCTCCCTCTTTTGGAAATGGAACCTGGCACACTCTAGAAACAACTAGGTGGGCTTGTACTGTGACAAAAAATAAACGAAAATGAATTTACAAAACTTAAAAGACAGAAAAGGAGAAAACCAAAAATCTGAGTGGCTGAGAGAATCTGAGGAGCACCTTGTAATAAATTCCCAATATAAGGCCAATGGAAAATGAGCACACTTGGTGAACGTTAAAATGGATGCCTGCCGATTCAAGCATGGGAAGAGGGAGGTCCTAGTGGAATAATTAAGGAAGTATGGAAATTCCATCAGAATTCAGGCCACATTCAGGCCACAGCACATCCCTCCAAACCTCCCATCGACTCAATATACACCAAGTACTTAGGCTTCCAGACACTGGGCTGCCAATCTCACCCTCCACCCACACCTCAACCACCCATCTGCAGCCTTCACCATCCAACATGGGAGCCACTCGCCATACAGGGCAACTGTGCACTTGGACAGCAGCTGGTCTGAACTGAGATGAGCTCCAAATATGAGATACACACCAAGATGCTCAACACAATATCGAAAGAAGAAAGAAGAATATCTCCCGACAACATAACGCCATTTGCAACAACATGGATGCTCCTAGAGAATGTCATTCTAAGTGAAGTAAGCCAGAAAGAGAAAGAAAAATACCATATGAGATCGCTCATATGTGGAATCTAAAAAACAAAAACAAACAAACAAAAACAAAGCATAAATACAGGACAGAAATAGACTCATGGACAGAGAATACAGACTTGTGGTTACCAGGGGGGTAAAGGGTGGGAAGGGATAGACTGGAATTTCGAAA